ACGAGCGCTCCGAAGGACTTCTTCGGTTGGGTCCCAGGCAGCAGGCCGCGCTCGAAGTCGTTGTGCGCCTGCGCCCTCGAGCCCTTGCGAGCTCTGTTGGCGGCGGCCCCTGCGCGCGCGTCGCGGAGCCCGCGCCAGCGCATCTTGGGCGTCCGCGCATACATGAAGCACGTGGTGCATGCGAGGAACTCGCCAGCTTCGCCCTCGACGCGCCCCATCATCAGCTGGTGGCCTCGGACCTGCCACGGCTCCCCACCAGTCGGCGGCGGCAGTCCGAAGACAGCGTTGTCGCCCACCGCTGGCGGAGCCTGGATCCGTCGAGCCACGTGTCGATCGGCTGCTGGCGCTGCGGCGGCTGGGCTGCCGGCCAAACCGCGGCCGCGGGCGCCTGCCGACGCTGCAGCCGCAAGCCGCTTCCGCACGGGCTCGGCGCCTCCACGCTCCGCCGCGCTCGAGACCGCCGCCGCGGCCGACACTATCAGTACCGCTGCTGCCGCCGCGCCCGGGGGGCCCCCTGCCGCGGTGCTGGTCTCGCTGGCTCCCCACTCAAGCATGCCGAAGTCGAGGTCCTCGAGCGCCGACGTTGGCCAGCAACCCCTGGCCCCGTGATCGGCGATGTGGACCTCTATCTCCGCCGTGTACCTGGCCCCAGGTAGGCGGCGGCAGCCGCTTGCGCGGCCGAGGCAAGCCCGAGGCCCCCGTCGGTCAACCAGAGGAAGCATTGCGCCCGCCAGTCGTCGTCGAGGGCGTCGCCCAGGAAGTCCTCCACAAACTGTGTGAGTGTCCTGTCGAGCCTGGTGAGCCAGACCCCGTCCTCGTAGCTTGCGCGCAGCAGGTGCGTGACGCAGCCTTTGCTGTAGGTTTGGAGCAGTCAGAAGCTCTCCCTCGGCCCGAGTCCGGCGCCGTGCAGTTCCTGGAGTCGGGTGACCAATCGCTCTGCGGCCCGCAGGGCCTGCCTCCTCCTCCTCCTCCTCCTCCTCTCTCTCCCTGCCTGCCTCCGTCCTCCTCCCGCTGCTCCGTCCTCATCCCCATCCTCCTGATCGCCAACTCGAGGAAGGCGCCCCCGAGGACATCCCCTCAAGGCCCCCGACCCCCCTCCCCCGAGAGCCCCTCCCACTCCAACAAAAAAAACCCACAGACGTCCAACGGTACTACGGACCACCAATCCTGGAGCCTCCCCCCAAACCCGGTAGCCCTGATACCGTCACGAGTCGCGACGGCGCCGTCCGGGAATGGCCGGGGCATCTGGTTCCCAGACGGCGCGGGCGCGGATCATGGCGTCACTTCCTCCCTCCCCCACATTCCCCTCAAATGCTGACAGTCCTCGCGAGAAGATGGAAGCAGGGCCCTGAACCAAGCCGCAGAAGAAACGGTGGGCCGAGGGGAAGACGAGAGGCTTCTGCACGATCGGCACATGCCTCCTCCTCCTCCTCCTCCTCCTCCTCCTCCGCCTCCTCCTCCGCCTCCTCCTCCTCCGCCTCCTCCTCCTCCTCCTCCTCCTTCTCCTCCTCCTCCTCATCCACATCCTGCTCCTCCTCCTCCTCCTCCTCCTCCTCCTCCTCCTCCTCCTCCTGGCCGTTCCATGTCCGAACCGGCAGGGCGGGGCTGCCCAGCTCGCCGAGGCGGCCCGGCCGGCGGGCGCCTCCACTATGGTGCGGATGCCCCAGGCGGGCTGCCACGACTCAGGGTGGTAGTGGGTGTTGCTGAGGCAGATCTTCTTGCCGACCTCGGGAGGCAGGAGGGCACGGGGGAGGAGAGGAGCAGTCAAATGATGGTCATAGCGAATACCAGGCAAGGAACGAAGCCCCCTTCTGGCCTCAAGAGGGCCCAGGCGCACGAGAAGCACTAGAGGTGCGAAAGTTGAAGGGCCTAAGGAACAGCGATCCCCCTCCTAACCCGAACTGATCCTGCGTCTCGGCTGTAGATTCTGGGCGACCGCGTGCGCGCGCGCGTTCTCGTGCATGCACTGGCAAACGTATCGACGAACCCTGGCCGTCTGCAGACATCATCCACGACGACGCCATCATCACAACCGCAATCGCCATCACCAGCATACATTGCGTTGCCAGTTTCGGCACCACCGCCACCACTGCGACCATGATGCCTTTTCTCAACGCCGTCGCCGAGCCCAGTCACTCCTGTTGCTAGCCCCCGATCAATTCTGCGACTTGTCGCCCGCATGCTGCACATCTTAGCTGCGCCCGGCAGGTCAGAAAGCACTGTGCCAGAGGGACAGAAGGGACATTCGTGTGATCGCTGTGGGCTCACAGGACCCCCCGCCTGGTCCAGAGCAGCTTCCCGAAGATGCCAAACATGAAAAGCAGACGCACGACAAGGACCAGCAATGGCGAACAGCGGGGCGGGATCGGACTGAGAAGGACGACGGTCGGGACAGGGGCGCCGGTGCGGAAGCGGCTCCGCTACACTGTGACATCCTGTAATGTGGAAGTCAGGTGGACTACGCCATTCATCGGCAACGCGAAGGGCGGCCAACGTGCGCCAAAATAAAATGGTGCCCTTTCCGGATGCCCTCGGCGCAGTGCGGAATAAAAGCAGGGTGTGTATTCTGTTGGCCCGTATGCAAATGATGAAGCATGGGCTACATTGCTGTTCGCACCCCTCCTCGCAACATCAATCCACAAAGCCGCATTGGAAACTCGGCACGGCGATGCTACCAATGTGCCCACGCACATGAAGCATTCCGGGACAGTCATGGCTTACGGTCGGACATGTCCCCTACAGGCGGACTGTGGGCGAAACTTCAAACATACTCAAAACAGATTGAAGAATAATCAAAAATGATAGAAAGTCGTCCCCTGACTATTTTGCTATATTTTTGAACATTCCCCTTGTAGAAGGACGTGCCCGACTTAAGCCCGCGCCCATGAAGCATTCCGGGGCACTCATAGTTTCTACGGCGCCAGCCGAGCTCCCACGAGCGCCACGTTCGCCCCAGAGTGCACAACTTTCCTGGCTCTTCACGAGCCGCGACGATTCTGCAAGATGCACAAGATCAGTCGCACACGTTTTCTCACCCTGCAAAAGCTGCATCAGTAGCATCATGCGTGTACGAATGTGTGGGCACGGTGGGGGAGCAAGTAGGGGGAGGGGGAGAGAGGAGGCGGGAAGGGTAGAGAAGGGCGGGGCGAAGGATAACGCGAAGGAGGAGGAATTACTGAGAATGAGGAGGGGAGGGTGGACATGTGGGAGAATGCATGCGGAGGAGGAGGAGGACGAGGAGGAGGAGGAGGAGGATAATGATAGTGACAGTGGCGATGGTGATGATGCCAGTGATGATGGCGATGACAACGAGGTGGACGAGGATGGTGGTGGTGGTGATGACCCCCTGTCAATGGACGGCTGGGAAAGCACAACTGCCATCCACCGACGAAACTTCAGTGGGGTTGCTACCGGAGCCCTGGCCGACCACGAGGCCCCGAAAAACCCCCGGGGACGCCCGGCAACGGGCCAGGTGCAGCCACCCCGACCCGCGGGCCCTGCACACCGAGGCGGATCCAGCCCTGGCGACGACCCCCGCTCGGTAGGCTCGTGCGGCGTCGGCGCGCGCACGGGTTTTTGACACCGCGCCGATCCTTCAACCTCGAACCGATCGCGGCCCCGCCCTGTCGAGGTTTGAATCCCGTCGGGTCCTGTGGCGCTGCTGTGTCCCTCGGTGTTTCCGCGTCGTTCTGCCGTGTGGGCTTCAAGCTTGCACACTTTCGCCGGCGTCGCCGGTGCGCCATCCCCGCATGAACGTACCGTGTCCCTTTTCCACCGCGCTTCACGCTGCCCGCGAAGGCGGGCGGGGTAACAGCTGCCACCGTTCACCCACCCCCGACGCGACCCGCGACGGGGCGGGGGCAGCGGCCCCCCCCCTCGGGTCCCACGGGGCGGCACCCCCCCCACTCCCTGCGGAGCGTACCGCTACCGCAAGGGGGAGGGGGTGCAACGCTTCCACATTTGTTGTTGAATCAGCGGGCGCAAGCGAGCCGAAACAGGTGCAGGCGCCGGTCGGGCCGCGGGGCGGGGCGCGCCAGAAGCGAATTGGGGCAGGGACGACGGCACACACAGTCAACCTGCTGGACAGGGAGAGCAGGGGGGGCCAGGAACCGGCCCTCCAGGGCCCGAACCTGGACGGCACCGATGGCCACCCAACAGGCCAACATGCTGGGGTCCGGACCTGGCAACGAGGACCCAACAGGGGCGGCGGACGAGTCGCCAGCCGAGGTGGTGGGAAATGGGAAGGACCGCCGCGGGCAAGGACTGCATCAAGGGACGTGCACGCACGAGAACACGTGCATCGTCCACCCCGTCGCAACCAGGGCCGAGCCGCAGCTCTCTGAAAGGGGAAATCGGAGGGCGACGATGATCCAGACACCCGGTCGGAATCCACCAACATCCTTGTTGCTAGGAGCAGCGTGAAAGGATGGGGGACCTTTCACACCGCCAGGCGACCCTGGCCCTCCCGACGACCCAGGGAACGACCTGTGGCGCGCAACAGGCAGGAGCAAAGCAAGGGGGAAACGCAGCCGGAGACGCAGGGGAGGCCGAAAGCAAATCCGAGGGGGAAATGCGAGGGAACGCACAGAAGGGGAGGGGGGAGCAAACGCCCGAGGGGGCGCTGGCACGTCCACCATGGCCTTTCGGCCAAAACCGTGCCGCACAAGAGAGGTGCGGGAGAGGGGAAGGCACCCCCCTTCCTCTAGTGCTCTCCAGGGGGGTGCGGTCTCGTGCAGGTGATGATGGTGGTGGTAATGGGAATGATGGTGATGATGGTGGTGGTGGTGACGATGCTAGTGGTGCTGGTGCGGATTCTGGTGATGGCGGTGATGCTAGTGTTGGTGATGATGATGATGATGATGATGATGATGATGATGATGATGATGATGATGATGCTGATGCTGATGCTGATGCTGATGCTGATGATGATGATGATGGTGATGATGATGATGATGATGATGATGATGATGATGATGATGATGATGATGATGGTGATGATGCTGGTATCAACAACTATCGAGCTCGAAAGCCGCCCGAACCCGAACGCACCCCTCGGCGCCTCGCCCGCAGCGTCCGGCCGGGCCCGCTGGGCACCCGCGAGGACCTGCCAGGCTGCAGACCGACGCCGCTGCCACACCAGCGGCGGCCAATCGCCGCCGCGCGAAAGAGGCGACACGCTCGAGCACGGCAGCGGCCGCGCGAAAGATGCGACACGCTCGAGCACGGCAGCGGCCGCGCGAAAGAGGCGACACGCTCGAGCACGGCAGCGGCCGCGCGAAAGAGGCGACACGCTCGAGCACGGCAGCGGCAAGCTCGTCGCAGGCATTCGTGATCCTCGGACCCGCCTGGCGCCACGAGCACAATAGGCGCCGGACTCGGCGGACCATTGGGTCCCGAGCCGCATCGGGCGACAGCCACTGCATTACTGCATCCCCTAGTAGGCCGTGCACAGAGTATACGCGCCAGGGGCGTTCTCACATCAACAATGAGCAGACGCAAAGACCCTCGCGAACGAGACACCACGAGCCACACGAGGACCCGCCACTTCCCGCCACCTGCCTACGAGGCCGCACTTCGACGCTGGGTGGCGCCACGAGCCACAGCAAACTACTGCTGCTAACACGACGTTTCCGTGGGCGGCCCAACACCGCTCAAGCCACGAACGCGGGGATAGCCCCCGCGAGCGGCTGCATCAGCGCCGCCACGCCCTGCATGCCACCCTCAGCTGTGGGGGGGGGCACCCCGTCAGCTGGCAACGGGCCGTCTGGCGCCCCATCCAGACGTGCACGTCGCCGCACGAGCGGTTGTACTCGCACCGCGGACCGACGGCGCCCTCCAGGAAATCTAGGGAGCTCCTTCGAGCGGGACGAAGATGGGCACCCCGGCCCTGAAGCTGCTCGGCGCCGGGGCAGACGTAGCCACAGCACTGATGTCGGGCGCGGTGTCTGACTGCGCCTCGATCGCGGCGTCGGGCCGCACGACGACCATGGCCCCAACAAACTTGTCGGCCTTGGAGTCGGACGCGGGCGCGGCGGCGCCCTGGTCCTTGGCGCCCTTCGGCTCGGAATCCTCGCCCTCCACCTGCAGCCAGCAACGCCCGCGACAGGAGGAGGAGGAGAGCGTGGCGCCGCACGTACAAAGGGCCCCGATGCGCGCCACCAGCGGCCTCGCCGCGCGAGCGACAGGTTGCCGAACTTCGGGTCGTGCACTGCGCTGTCAATTCCTGAGCTGCTGCGGCGAAGCCCGCGCAACGTCAGCGCCTGCAGGAACTTTTGCGTGCATGGCAACGTTGCGCCCAGTTGGTCTGTGTGCTCCAGAAGGTGGCCCGCCAGCCTCGCCGCCAGTGCGGGAATGATCGCGACCACTCGATCCTCGACCTCGGCGTCGCCGACGAGCAAGGTCACCGCCTCCTTGAGCACTGGGCACTCCTGGGCAAGGTGCTCCTTGTCCAGCTGGAGCCTCTGGATGGCCCGGTCAGCTGCATGACGAGCAGCTTGGCGGGCGGCGTTCCGCTGCTCAGCTGGCTTCCAGGGACGCCTGCATGGCGTGCCCTCCCGCGCCGTCCTCAAGCCTCCAGCTCTCACACCGCTCACTAGCCTCCAGGCCCCCAGCAGCATGCCGCGGCCATGGGCGAAAGGGCAATGGATAAATCAGAAAAAATGAGGCTCGAGTCCAAATGGCTACGGATGATGATGATGATGATGATGATGATGATGATGATGATGATGATGATGATGATGATGATGATGATGATGATGATGGTGATGGTGATGGAGATGGTGATGGTGATGGTGATGGTGATGGTGATGGTGATGGTGATGATGATGATGAGGATGATGATGCTGATGATGTTGATTATGATGATGATGATGACAATGCTGGTATTGATTATGATTATGATGATGGTGATGATGATGATGATGATGATGATGATGATGATGATGATGATGATGATGACGATGACGATGTTGATGATAATGATGACGAGGAGGAGGAGGAGGGGGAGGGGGGAGGAAGAGGAGGGGGAGGAGGAGGAAGAGGGAAGCCCTCCCCTGCGGCCAGCCTCCCATCGGCCGTTCGGCGTGAGCAGCGAGATCGAGGGCGGGGCCAGGGGGTAGTTGGCCTGCCCCGCCCCGCCACCTCCCGAGTCGTGGTCGGGAGGAGGAGCGGAGGAGGGGGGCCATGAGAAGGGGAAACGCACCGATGAGGGGAAGGAAGGGCGACAGAGAATGAGGAGTATGATATGGCAGTAGGCAGATGCAGGTAGGAAAGACGGTCGGGCAAGGGGGACAAACAGCAGAACACGATAGGGGAATGATAATAATGTGGATGATGCGCATAGCACTGCAACGTGCGCCTACCCAACCTGATGTGCAACGAGGGGTTAGCCTCCCAGATGCCGTCACTTGCGCAAGCAAGACACATAACAGGACGAGTGGAGGAGAAACGGGAGGAGGATGATGGGTGACGGGATGTTATCAAAAAATTGGGGCCGCAATATGTGCGTGCGCCCCCGCAACATTCCGAGCACGGCACGCTCCTGACAACATGTCGCGCGCGCGCGCGCCATGCAATCAACAATTGGCACGCGTGCCCAGGCGCTTGCAGGCGGGAGCGGCAAGGGACGAAGAGGGTGAGGAGCGTGAATCTCACGGGGCTACCCAGGGCCTTCTTGGGGCCATCTTGGGCTCCCTTGACGGCCCGTTGTTGTCTCTCGGGGCCATCGCGGGCTCGCTCGGACCCGTCGGGGCCGGCGTGGCGGAGGGCGCTCAGGCCTCCATCGGCCATGAGTGAGCGATTGGGGGTCGCATGGGCCTCGTTTCTGGACAAGTGGGGATACTTTTTTTTTACAGCCGCAGGCGGAAGCGCCAGCGGCGGAAGGTAATACAAGTGGGGATACGCGACGCGTCAAGAACTTGTAACGGCGCGGCTCCCCAAAGGTCGGGACCCCTTCCTGGGCCCCGGCTCTGAACCCCGAATCGTCCTTTGGCGGTCCCCAGGCACGATGAGAACGCCCCTGAGACCGAAGATTGCCCCCAAAAGACTTTCCGCCGTGATTGCAGCATGGCGCGAGGCCCTATCGGCCATGAGTGAGCGATTGGGGGGCGATGATGGTCGACGTGTGTTCCCCCCTGAGCCCGCCCCCCTCTCCCGCTGCCCCTGAGGGGAGGGCTCGGCAGGGTGGGCCGCTGCTCCGGTGCTCCAGCGGGGGAGGGGATCAGCAAGAGGGGGGTGCGCGCATCATGAAGCAAGGCATGTGCTCGGGCGAGTGGGGGCCACGGGATGAAGAAGAGGGAGCCATGTTAGACCTGGGAGGTGCCATGGCCCCGGCCATGCCCGGGGCCGGCCAGAGGCGACCACGCATCCGCCAGCGCGAGGTGCCAGGGAGGGTCCTCCGAGTGGTGCGGTGCCCACCCTCTCGCTCGAGACATCCCCTACTACCAGACCGAGGAGGAGGAGGAGGAGGCGGAGGAGGAGGAGGAGGAGGAGGAGGAGGAGGAGGAGGAGGAGGAGGAGGCATCGTGGACCTCCTCGCTGGGGGGTGGCCCCCCTGGTAGGGGTGCTGTCGCCTCTCCTTCCTCCGCATGATCTCCCACCTGCCCCGTCAACACACCCAGTCAGCGCCCCACCCTCGACGCCTGACCCAGACGATCCCCGACGTCATCTTTTTCCCAACCATCCTGTGTGTTGGGTCCTCGTTTTGAAGAGACGGTGCCCCGCGTTCCCCTCCTTCCTCTCCTCCTCCCTCCTCCGGGGGTGTTCGCATGCGGTTCCCCCACCCAGGGCAGCGTTTCGTGGCCCCATAGGGAGCTCCACCGAAGGCCCCAGTGGGGGTGTTCGCATGCGGTTCCCCCACCCAGGGCAGCGTTTCGTAGCCCCATAGGGAGCTCCACCGAAGGCCCCAGTGGGGGTGTTCGCATGCGGTTCCCCCACCCAGGGCAGCGTTTCGTGGCCCCATAGGGAGCTCCACCGAAGGCCCCAGTGGGGGTGTTCGCATGCGGTTCCCCCACCCAGGGCAGCGTTTCGTGGCCCCATAGGGAGCTCCACCGAAGGCCCCAGTGGGGGTGTTCGCATGCGGTTCCCCCACCCAGGGCAGCGTTTCGTGCCCCATAGGGAGCTCCACCGAAGGCCCCAGTGGGGGTGTTCGCATGCGGTTCCCCCACCCAGGGCAGCGTTTCGTGGCCCCATAGGGAGCTCCACCGAAGGCCCCAGTGGGGGTGTCCACATGCGGTTCCCCCACCCAGGGCAGCGTTTCGTGGCCCCATAGGGAGCTCCACCGAAGGCCCCAGTGGGGGTGTCGCATGCGGTTCCCCCACCCAGGGCAGCGTTTCGTGGCCCCATAGGGAGCTCCACCGAAGGCCCCAGTGGGGGTGTCCACATGCGGTTCCCCCACCCAGGGCAGCGTTTCGTAGCCCCATAGGGAGCTCCACCGAAGGCCCCAGTGGGGGTGTCCACATGCGGTTCCCCCACCCAGGGCAGCGTTTCGTGCCCCAGAGGGAGCTCCACCGAAGGCCCCAGTGGGGGTGTCCACATGCGGTTCCCCCACCCAGGGCAGCGTTCGTGGCCCCATAGGGAGCTCCACCGAAGGCCCCAGTGGGGGTGTCCACATGCGGTTCCCCCACCCAGGGCAGCGTTTCGTAGCCCCATAGGGAGCTCCACCGAAGGCCCCAGTGGGGGTGTCCACATGCGGTTCCCCCACCCAGGGCAGCGTTTCGTGCCCCATAGGGAGCTCCACCGAAGGCCCCAGTGGGGGTGTCCACATGCGGTTCCCCCACCCAGGGCAGCGTTTCGTGCCCCATAGGGAGCTCCACCGAAGGCCCCAGTGGGGGTGTCCACATGCGGTTCCCCCACCCAGGGCAGCGTTTCGTGGCCCCATAGGGAGCTCCACCGAAGGCCCCAGTGGGGGTGTTCGCATGCGGTTCCCCCACCCAGGGCAGCGTTTCGTAGCCCCATAGGGAGCTCCACCGAAGGCCCCAGTGGGGGTGTCCACATGCGGTTCCCCCACCCAGGGCAGCGTTTCGTAGCCCCATAGGGAGCTCCACCGAGGCCCCAGTGGGGCTGCCCTCATGCGGTTCCCCCACCCAGGGCAGCGTTTCGTAGCCCCAGAGGGAGCTCCACCGAAGGCCCCAGTGGGGGTGTCCACATGCGGTTCCCCCACCCAGGGCAGCGTTTCGTAGCCCCATAGGGAGCTCCACCGAAGGCCCCAGTGGGGGTGTCCACATGCGGTTCCCCCACCCAGGGCAGCGTTTCGTGGCCCCATAGGGAGCTCCACCGAAGGCCCCAGTGGGGGTGTTCGCATGCGGTTCCCCCACCCAGGGCAGCGTTTCGTAGCCCCATAGGGAGCTCCACCGAAGGCCCCAGTGGGGGTGTCCACATGCGGTTCCCCCACCCAGGGCAGCGTTTCGTAGCCCCATAGGGAGCTCCACCGAAGGCCCCAGTGGGGGTGTCCACATGCGGTTCCCCCACCCAGGGCAGCGTTTCGTAGCCCCAGAGGGAGCTCCACCGAAGGCCCCAGTGGGGGTGTCCACATGCGGTTCCCCCACCCAGGGCAGCGTTTCGTAGCCCCAGAGGGAGCTCCACCGTAGGCCCCAGTGGGGGTGCCCGCATGCGGTTCCCCCACCAAGGGCAGCGTTTCGTGGCCCCACAGGGAGCTCCACCGAAGGCCCCAGTGGGGCTGCCTGCATGCGGTTCCCCCACCCAGGGCAGCGTTTCGTAGCCCCATAGGGAGCTCCACCGAAGGCCCCAGTGGGGGTGTTCGCATGCGTCTCCACTACCCAGAGGTAGCGCCGCCGAAAACGGTATTCACACTTGCGGTATTCACAGTTGCATATGGTTGGGTCCTTCGCCAGGCTAATTTTCCCCACATCCTAAGTGGGGTTCTTGTTTTCTCTGCACACCCTCCGCGCAGGATCTCTCGTCCAACTCCCTTTCCTCTGCTCTTCTTTGCTTCCTCCTCCGCATCATCATCACCATCACCATCACTCCCCACTCATCATCACCACCATCATCATCATCAGCATCATCATCATCATCATCATCACGTCGTCATCATCACCACCACCACCATCATCACCATCATCATCATCATCATCATCATCATCAGTATCATTGATTTTTTCCCTAACAGAAATAATTCGCTGAGCAATTAATGCTGCAGCTGTACTGTAGGGTGCTACAGTAAATAATTCGCTGAGCAATTAATGCTGTAGCTGTAGCTGTAGCTGTAGCTGCGACGAAGTTTTCGCGCGGCGTTTTTACTGTGTTTTACGACGCCGGGAGGTCTGGGCCAGGAAGGAAAAAGGAGTTAGAAAGGAATTTGATAAGGGATTTCAGAAGTTAGAAAGGAATTCAGTTTTTTTTGCGTTAAATTTGTTTTTTTACGACGCCAGGAGGTCTGGGCCGGGGAAGAAAAAGGAGTTAGAAAGGAATTTGATAAGGAATTTCAAGAGTTAGAAAGGAATTTCGTTGTTGGGGTCGTTTTTTTTTGTTTTTTTAACGACGCCGAGATGTCTGGGCCAGGAAGGAAAAAAAGGAGTTAGAAAGGAAATTGATAAGGAATTTCCAGAGTTAGAAGGGAATTTCGTTTTGGGTGTTGTTTTTAAACAAAAAAGAAGAACGCCGGGAGGTCTGGGCCAGGAAGGAAAAAGGAGTTAGAAATGAATTTAAAAAGGAATTTCAAGA